AAAATAAAAATAAAATACATTTATAAAAAAAGAAACATTAAAAAAATGAAAAATAAATAATGGTAAAAAATTTTTCAAAAAAAGCACACAGCTAAAAAACAGAAACACGCTAATCTTGTCTTCTTTGTGATTAGCATGCTATGTCTCCCAGATTGTCTGTGAACCCCACTGCGCCCCTTCTCCTAATGCCAGTAATTCAATATTGGCTATCCATCCAGCTTGAGCAGAGAATGATAAATCTGTCTTCAAGGGTTCTCACCTTCAGAGAAGCCACGAAACATGAAACACGCCTGACTTAACTGTTCTTTCCTTTATAGTCAGCACCCCTGCCTGTGGTGACTGAATCAACTATGTGAGTCACTGGTGTGTTCGTCAGTGTTATAACCTGTGGGACTTCACAGCCTGGAAGCAGTCACCTGGGGAGGAGTCATAGGTGCCTCATGAGGTCCTTAATGTCACCCCAACTCTTGAAAGCTTGATTTGCCCTTTCTTCCCTCTCTATCCACAGTGGTGGACCCTGAGAATGGGGATGAGCGGAGTCATGTCATGTAAATTACAATTACAGATAGCTATTATACCAGGAGAGATTTTTAGACATTAACTGGTATATCACTTAAAAAAAATGAGCCCACAGCCAAAAAGGCTGGAACAAGTGAAGTCTTTCTTTGCAGCCTAATGATTGCCATCTTGAAAACCAATTATGGAACGGATTCTTCCTAGGCCATTGACATAACGTTAGTCTAATTCTTAGAACATTAGCACTGTCTCTTTCTATAGATGAGGAAACAGGCTCAGCACCTCAACCAGGTAAGTGGCAGAGCCGAATGTAGATTTGGCCCTAGCACCTGACAAAGCATGGGTTTGGTCCACAGTCATATGATGCTTGTTGGTCAAGAGAGTTTCCCAGCCATGAGAGCCCCTTCCCTGCCCCATGATCCTGCCTTGTGTGGGTGTCTCCCGGGAATGTGGAGAGCCAGGGTATCAGCCCTTTGCCACAACAGCTGTTCTTAAGAGGGGCTGCAAATCAGCCATAAAAAGGACCGAAGGACTGGTACCTGCTATAACATGGATGAACCTTGAAAAGATGCTAAGAGACAAAGGCCAGTTGCGAAGGACCACATATTACATGATTCTGTTAATATAAAATATCCATAGAGACAGGAAATAGATTAGTGATTGCCTAGGGCTGTGTGTGTGTTGGACAGGAGGACAGAAAGAAGGGGCCGGTTTTCATAGGATTCTTTCTGAAGTCATGAGAATGTTCTAAAGCTGATTGTGGTGATGGCTGCACAACTCTGAACATACTGAAAGCCACTGAATTGTACACGGTAAAGTGGGTGAGTTGTATGTGGATTACATCTCTTTAAAGCTGGTAGAAAAGAAGTGTTGCAGAGATATCCGCATCACTGCCCGTCAACAAGTCAGATGAGCTGGTGTTTCCATCTTGAAGCTGCACTTAAAAAAAATTGCGCTAACACTTACTGAGCCTACACTTTTGTGCCAGGCACTGTACTTACTGCTTTGCAGGCACTAATTCATTTAATGTTCACAGCAACCTATGAAGCATCTGCAACTATGACGCCTCCGTTTTATAGTTGGGGCACCTGAGACACAGAGAGGTTGTGACATGTTTATTGAGCTGGTAAGGGGTGGAGCCTGAATATGAACCCAGGGAAGCTGGTTCCGGAGCTCTTAACCAACAATGCTATGTTGCCATTCAAAGTGATAAATGGAAGTATTAGGACTACAACTTCTGACTCCTGGTCCACTGCTTTTCTTGGATAATGAGGCCTGACTATGTGCCTTGTCCAAATCAATATACTAACTGGGGATACAAAGTATGCAAATTGCATATTCCTCATCTTTGGGAAATTTACCAGACCAGCAATAAAGGCACAAAATATCTTTATTTGGAGGATGATTCTAAATTTAAGACTGTGTCTCTTTACATCTTTTGTTTATTTCTCTCCTTTGCTCTTTCTTTCTGAAGCCACACGTTTGTATGTTTGTCAACCCTTGTTCCACATTTTATACTGATTCAAACATACAAAATTGTGGCTGCCTCCTGTAAGCCCCTGCCCCTTACTGGGGATGGAGCCTGCAACCTGGGCACATGTCCTGACTGGAAATCGAACCCGCAACCTTTTGGTAGATGAGACGACCCTCAACCGACTGAGCCATACCAGCCAGGGCAGCCTATGATGTATTTATTTATTTATTTATTTATTTATTTATTTATTTATTTATTTATAATCCTCACCCAAGGATATTTTTTCCACTGCTTTTCAGAGAGAGGCGGAAGGAGGGAGGGAGAGGGAGAGAGGGAGAGAGAGAGAGAGAAGCATCTGTATGAGAGAGACACATCGATTGGTTGCCTCCTGCACACACCCCAAATGGGGCCAGGGATCGAGCCTGCAACTAGGTATGTGCCTTTGGTCAGAATTGAACTGGGGACCTTCAGTCCCTGGGCTGATGCTCTAACCACTGAGCCAAACTGGCCAGGGCAGCCTATGATGCTTTTAAATATAATACATGTTAACCAGGGACCCCCATGTGGTCCAATCTCAGCATGGTTGCATTTAAAATATCCTATAACTAAAAGTAACGAAATGCAATTCAAGCCTTTACTAAAGAATGTCAAAAAGATCCAATTCATAGTCACAGAGCAAAATGCCTTAAAATCTTTTTAACCTCTCTGGCTCAATCTTCCCCACATATCCCCACAGCCCTTCGAACTTCCCTCCCAACCCATGTGCTCTGTCCCACACCCAAGTGGTTTCTTCCTTTTTGATGCTAACATCCAACTTCTTCAACTTACAGCTTTTTCTACCCTTTCTGTGTGTTGGTTAAGCCTCAGGTCTGAGCACAAAGTTGCTCCCTGCACACACTCTTCCTGGGGAAAGGAAGTATATTCTCCAGATTAATTTTTTTAACCCTGATATTCAGAGAGCTTGGGGGGTTCACATAGGGGCAGTTGGGGAAAGCTTTTTTCTTTACAAGGACTGAAAACAGAACATCTTGAGGTTAAGGAAATGTGGGGACACCAGAAGCAGTAGGAGCAGCCTCTGAGGGCAGGACTAGCAGGCGTTTGTTGGCAGCATATTTCATGGGAGGCGTCCACCAGGCAAGGCCAGCCTCCTGGCCCATAATCTGTGCTTTTACACAGGCTCCCTGGGCCCAGAAGTGTCCCAGTGCTCAGCTTAATGTGTTGCTATTGCTATCTTAAATATCTTAATCATATTTGAACAAGAAATTCCCCATTTTCATCTCGCACCAGGCCCTGCAAATGCCGTAGCCAGTCCTGAGCAGAGGCCAAGGTTTTCAAACACTGTTTACCTCCCATCCTGAGTCCCTCTCTGACTACTCACTTACCACTCATCGGGAGGCTTCCAGGTGCTGGTGAAACCTTGAACGATTGTCAGGGAGCTTGTCTCCGGCAAGCCGTCTCTTGGGGTATCTGGAACAACCTTGAAAAGTGAGAGGAAAGAAGGAAGATTTGTTCTGAGTGGTTAAGGGGAGGTTATACCCAGATGGAGAGGGGTTTCCCCTTCTATGATACAGTTGTGGCTGTTTAGATCCAGCCTCTTCCACCAAGAGCTTCGCTTGGGCCTCTGTTTTAGGACCCTCGGCATCCCTGGAGTAACCATTGGCAGTTTCTGAGTGTCCCTCTCCTGCTATGCTAAGTGGATCCTACTGTGGGGTGGGCCTTCTTTTTCCTGAGCTTTATGGTGCGTGAGAACCTGACTATGGACAGAGTGAAATGTTGTTTCCAAGCTCGGGGCTTCACAAAGGCTGGATTTGGCAGACTGGTGCTAGCACTGTGCCCAGAGGATGGGATGCAAAGGGCCCTCTGTATTCAGACAGAACTGGTTCTTAGGGCTGCCCATATCTGTGCGAGTTGTGCATGGTACAGCTCTGGGAGCGCCTGGCACACTCGGGGTGTCAGCTGGCACGGCCATGAAGGGTTGCCTGGGGCAGCAGTCACTTGAGCTGCTTGGTGTTGAACAAGAGTTGAACCTCTCTAAGCCTCACTCTCCTCATCTGTAAGACGTAGAAGGGGTTAAATCACTTAGGTAGTTTAAAAAAACGGAATGAAATAACACACCTGGTGCCTAATCAGATGTTAAATGTCAACTTGTATCAATGAATGCATGCATGTTGGAAAATGCTAGGTGTTACTGCACTCCCGGGGCACCTGTCTAGTGCTTTTCCAGTTTCAGAATACCTTCCGTCTGAAGATGCTTTTGTATTTAATCAACTCCTTTTTTTGGAGGCAAATAGGCATATGCACTTTTTGAGTCCAATATGAAAAGACTTGGAGGAGAGAAAGAAAGAGAAATGAGAGGAGGTGGCCCCAATTGAGGCTCATGCAGGGTCTNAAAGAGAAATGAGAGGAGGTGGCCCCAACTGAGGCTCATGCAGGGTCTTCCTTGTCAATCTGGGCTCTGGTCATCCTAGAGTATCCAGGACGGGGGGGTTCTCAACCAGGGCTGCCCTCCCTGGGGACACTAGCAATGTCTGCAGACAGTTTTGATTGTCACCACTTGGGGGAAGGTTGCTACTGGCATCTAGTGGGTTGAAGCCAGGGATTTGGCTAAACATCCACAACAAGGGGTCTGGCCCACATGTCAGCAGTGGGGTGGGTGAGAAAGCCTGTCCGAGTGTCACCAGTGAAGAGGGTTCTTGCCCCCTCCCCAAGATAGAAATCAAGAGAGGAGGAGAAACAGATACAAAAGAAGAAGTTTACTGAAAACAAGGTGGAGGGAAGGAGAAAGGGAGGGAGCTGGATGAGTGAAGGGAGTGCATGCTAATGAAAGCAGGGCTCCTGAACTGCTCCTGACCTGGCTTGTACAGTAGGCCAACCCCAGCCTTGTATAAGCCAAGGGAGCAGCACCCCACGCCCTCACTTTTTCTCACACTCCTGGGAAAGTCAGACGAGTCTCCAAACACATGGTAATGAGGGGCACTTTTATTTTCCAGATTCACGTGGCATGAGAGGATGACAGACTCAGGAGGGCCCCAGAGGCGCACACTGTGTTTCTTATCCACGCTGCTTTCCCAGAAGGTTCCCGAGAAGTCAGATACTGTGCTTCGTTGCATAATATCCGGTAACCATCATCACTAGCCAGTCACCTCTGAAATCTCCCTGCCGATCAGGTTGTTTGACTCAAAAAGCATGACTAAAAAATCACCTGGGAAAATTACCCGGGAAGTTTATTCTAAGCAGCCAGCTGAGCAACTGAATCGTCTATGTTTTTTTTTCTAAGAGATTTCTTCGAGTCACTTCCTGGATACATGCTGTGGTTCTTGGTTAGGCACCTCCCACACTGGTTATTTTCCCAGATAATCCGCCCTTAATTTCCTGTAGCACATAGGAATGACATGCATAACCTCACTGCACGACTTATTGGACTCTTCTTCCATTGTTCTTTTATTGCTATCCCCAAACTGGCTAAATCTGTGTCCCCACCTGCCTCCTTTGGGCCTGCTGGTCAGCAGTGAAAAGGTAAAAACCAGGCAGAGGGGCTCAGCGAGGAAAAAGAGGGGTCTGGAATTCCCCCTGGACTGGAGAATGAATAGCCCAGAGCTGACTCAGCATTCATACCCCCAGAGGTGGAAAGGGTTTATTAAAAGAAAATCGAAGTAAACTAATCGGGTAGGAAAGTGGAGTTCTGTACCCGGTGCACTGTTTTCTTTCTTGGATTATGGCTCTCCCCTCAAAAATACAGAGGCCCAGCGGTGTTTCATGAGGGCAGACAGAAAGCGCTTCTCCACCCCTCATCCCTTTTTCTAAGTCCAGAGAGTAGAGCCGGCCTCTGAAATGGAGGTGCTTCCTTAGGCGAAGTCATAATAAAGTCTGGTCTTCAGTCTGGATGCTGGAGTGGAGAATGTACCCTCAGTGTCTCTGAGCCCAGAGCTGAGCCTCGTCTCTCTCTCAGGGTTTGTCTATAGCCACTCAGATAGATGGACAGACACAACTCCACTCCTGAGCCTCCGAGTAGGGCCCCCTTGTCGCCCCAGGAAGCCCTAGTGTTTGGATGTACCCTAAACCCAGCTACGGTCCCCACACATTAGCCAGGTTCTTGTGAAACCCTGGAGGTGGCTCTTGATCTGTGACTTGCAGGTAGGCTTTAAAAACAAGGGTAGGCTTTTTGGGGGAGGTTTCCAGCAAACGGAGGGAGAAAAGAGAACCACCCACAAGGTACGAGATACCACTTCCCTGTGTAAGTCTCATTTCTGGCTGATTGTTCAGATCTGTACCGCACAAAGGGAAAAAAACAGTCAGCCACGAAGAAGCTGGGAGTCACTGAGCTCTGATCAGTCTGATTGGGACACCAGAGTCCAAGAGATCAGAATGAGTTCCCCAGGCGCAGCTCAAACATACTCTACATACTTTCTTCAAAAAAGTCACATACACACACAAAAAGAGCCGTTAAATGCTTCCTAAGAGGGAATCTATACAACAGGCTCAAAGGGGGACACAGGCTGCTAAGAACAGGTGGAAATGAATTATGACCAGCAACCTTCTTGATGGCTTTTGAGGGAAGCTCATTTTTGGTGGTTTAGTCATTTGTCTGAAAGGGACTCAGCTGCTGGAGAAGGACATGTCCTTGCATGAAGGTCTGCCTGCCCCTGGCTCCAGGCACCGATTATTCAGGCACCTGCCTGGAGTAGGAGGCAGGGAGGAACACACGCACTTGCCACCCAGCACATTCATGGTGTTGGCACAGAGGTAGTTTAGCCGGAAGTCCTCAAGTTAGATGAGACATGGGCAGGGAGAGAGGGCAGGCTCTGAGTAGCCTCAGGTCCCTCCGTGGTGCAGGTCTCAGAAAAACAGGGAGTTCTTCTCTTAGTGGTGTCTGGGGCTGCCTGCCAAAAACCATGAGATGAGTAAGACAGAAAACACAAGAGCATTCCTAGGATGGACTGAGAGTGGTGTATTTTCCCAAATACCAGGCTTCTCTCTTGTATATATAGCACATCTCGACGCATTTTCAATGACAGGGAGGCTACCGAGAAAGTTCTTGGGGACACACTAGAACTCCTCGCCCCATCACAAGGGGAAAAAAAACCCCCAAGGTGTGAATGGAATTCCTGGGGGCTTTATCAGGTTAACCTATTAACATTACCACTGGTTAATGATCACCAGGGGAAGATGAATCCCTTCTGAGGGAGAAAGCGTAGGTCAATTTCTGTGATGACATCAGTCATGTGTGCACAGTGCCAGCCTGGGAAACCTACATGCCAGCCTCCGTCATCCTCAGGAGGAAGGCACTTTGCCCTCTATTTTGTACCATAACTTACACTCAACTCTAGGCACTGTTAAAGTATAATTTTCAGACAGATAAAGTGACTCCCAAGCAAATATGAAATTAACATTTCAAAGATTTTTTCAACTATCTAAATTAAAAGGGAACCAGAAAGTGTTGGTGCCTGATCAAAGAACACTTGAGGGATTTATAGACAATTTAATAAAGGAACGTTAGGCTAAGATTGCTGGTTAATATCCAATAAGGGCAATAAACCATAACTTACGGGGTTATCTTTTCTGCCAGACAGAGATTATTTGCAGCTCTATTGGTTAAAAATCTACACGTTTACATGTAACTTCACTAAATATGGGAATTTTGATCGATAGTAGTTATTGAATTGAAACTAAGTACTTTCCCCTAGATAATTCTTAAATGGACCTTTGCCCCCATATGACATTGAAAGAAGATACTATCCACAGTTTTGCCTTATTTCTAAATTTTAGATAATTTTTTTAAATAGTCCCTTGAGGTTAGAGATCTAATTTTTCATTTTGTAGGCCCCATCTGCCCCCAGCTCAGCACCATGGTAGGGAGATAACATGCCCTGTAGTGCTTATGAATGAGAGGGAGCTTTTCCAGTGGCCCAACCTTCTTATCCACCATGCTCGTCCCTGTTGCTTATTGCCCATTCTTGCTCATAGCTTTATGGTTTTCTTTTGTAAGAATACTTAATGTAATAAGAATATTCTTATTTCTGTATCATCAGGTCAGCCCAAGCCAGAGGTAACTTGGTATAAAAATGGTCAAACCATAGAGGAGGGCGACATTGTTTCCAGTTATGAATTCTTCGAGAATCAGTATATTCATGTGTTACATCTCTACTGGTAAGTGGATGAGCCCCTGTGGACTGTTTACTAAGATCCCTGTATACTGTCATGTGCTGGTTACCAAAAGGTAAGACCAAAAGACTGGATCCCATTTGTTTTTTGAGTCCTAATGTTAGATGCTATTGGCAGGCATCAGCCTAGGCATCTGGCAATGAATCAATGAAGACCTGCCTGGTAACTGGTAAATAGGGTGTTCCCCTATTTGCTGCCATTGATGGAATTACAACTTTATGTAGAATCTTATTCAAGGTAGTCTAGCCATTTTCATTCATTAATCTTCTGTATGGACAGTTAAGAAGCACAGTAGGATTTCAACATTGTCATCCAGTCTTTCTTGTATAAGAACGGAAGGAAGAAGTGACTGACCATGATCCCACAGCAAATTGGTGATGGAGTTAGTTTAGGAAGTAGTTTCTAAAACCAGCACAGTGGTTTCTAATTCCTTTTTGTTCCCCTAAGAACTAGTGGGATGAAATCAGGAAGCACCGCATGTGAAGTAGAGAAAATGAGAACTGCTCTGCTTGAAGCTGGGTGGGAGTCCGCATTCTTGGTCTCCAATGCTACTGAATTGGTCTCCCTGTCCCTTATAGGGGCTCTGAGGAGCCTGAGGTTGTGCAGAGCATGCTATGACAATGACTGGTAAGCATGGGCATGTGCCAATAACCTTGGACCTGAGAATAACAAAGTAAGACTTGGGTCTGAATTCTGACTCTGCCATTTTCTGGCTGTGTGATGTTGACCTGTTCATTAACCTCTCCAAATCTCAATTTCTCCAAATGAAAGTGTGGGTAAGAAAATGAGATGAGTTAATTCTCATAAAAGGCTTGTTGTGTAGTAGTAGCTAGTTCAATAAACAATAGCTTTCTTAGCTCCCCATCCACCCTTTTGTTTCACAGTAAGATCAGAGATCATGGTTGAAATGCTTGACTTAACTGGCTTACAGTGCATCTGACTATACATCCAAGGCATCCATTTATTCATCTAATATTTAATTCTCTTTTTTAAAAAAATATATCTTTATTGATTTCAGAGAGAGGAAGGGAGAGGGAGGGAGAGAGATAGAAACATCAATGATGAGAGAGTCATTGATCGACTGCCTCCTGCACGCTCCCTGCTGGGGATCGAGCCCGCAACCCAGGCATGTGCCCTGATAGGGAATCGAACCGCGATCTCTTGGATCCTAGGCCGACACTCAACCACTGAGCCACGCCCGGCCGGGCTAATATTTAATTCTTTAAAAAATGTTCATCAACCAGCTACTCTGTGGCAGGCATGTTGCTTAATTCTAGGGGTAGGGGTGAACAACATAAACATACAACCTCAAGTTCAAGCTGGAAGACAAGTGGTGAACAAATCGCGCCGTCTTCCTTCTCAATTCAGTACACCGGGAGGCAGCCCACCTGGCATTTGCTGCCCGGTCATCCATGGATTGACCTTCCTGCTGCTTTTTTCCAATTTTGCCAAGGCCTTCCCCTCTCTCCACTTCACCTCCTTCAACTTAGAATCCACCTCCTTGGTTTCAGGCAGTTTTAGCTACCCACGGATCTGTCTAGCCTCAAACATTCTCCTCTCCTTTCCACAGGTGTCCTTTTGGTTTATTTATTGTCAGGAGGGATGGGCAGTTCAGTAGACTGTGGGCCTCCTGGGGCAGGAATTCTCTTGGTTTCACACCAGTGCATTTCCTGGGGCCCAATACAGGGCTTGCAACATAGATATTTGTTAAAAGGATGGTGAGTAGATGGATATATGAGCTTTTACTGGCCATTTAAGAATTAAGATTTGCTGTTAATGTTCATTGTTGTTTACACAGGACCAGGAGAGTAGGCAAAACGAATGTTTGTGGGTCTTCAGGGGTTAGGGGGCGGAGGAATGAGAAGGCCATGATGAAGCCCCTGGGGCAGGTGGGAAGGTTAAATGGGAGAGACATGGACAGGACACCGGGAAGGGAAACTGAGGAAGGGAACTTGTGCTAGGGAGAGGGCAGGGAGTCCTTATTCTTGGCTCTGAAGTCCAGCAGGGCAGTGATTTATGTCAAATTAAAGATTTAAGGCAACAGAATGCACTCTTTCCAAACTCCTGGCCTGCCATTTGGAAAAGTAGCCCATTTACTGGGAAAAGTAGTCAGACTCGATGCAGGGAATAATGCTTGGGCAAAGGATAATAGATGGTGGCTGCATTTTCTGCTTAGTAGTAAATATTCGGGGTACTAAAGATCTTTGTACATTCTGACTTTTTACTCTAGTAATTCTGAACTGTAGCTGCCCATTAGCATCGCCTGGGAGCTTTTAAAACTCACCAATGCTTGGCCTTCACCCTTGACTAATTCAGCCCAAGCCCTGGTGATTCCCATGTGTTACCTGAGATGAAAAATGTTCTACATCTAAAACATTCATCTGCCAAGTAGAAAGAACTTCTACTGGTCTGTGAAATGCCGGTTAGAAAAGAGAATGGTGCTTTGTGCAAATGTCTTTCAGAGATGAAAAGTTAGTTGTTAGTTATAATATTAATATTAAAATCACATTTTCTTGCCATTATCAATACACCATAAACCACCAGATTAGCTCATGGCTCCCCAAAGGAAAGTATTTTCCTTTATCTAGCTGAATTTAGTCTCTGGGTCACTAAATCTGTGTTCTTAGATACCTCAAAACGGTGCCTGTCTTCCCCAAGGTCTTTTTCTGGTTTAAGAATCCACAGTTCTGCTCGGAGGCCAGGAGCCCTGCTGCCCTATTTATGGCCCATCTGATCCTCCCTCCTCATTGCACTCCCATCACTTGAAACTGTGTCTGTGGGGCAAAGGAGGGGGCTCGGAGGAGATGGGTCAGTGCTGTCGGGACCTTTACGTTTCCACAGGTCAAGTGCGCTTGGCAGGCAAGAAGAATGGAAAGCCAAGAAAACATTCCAAGGGGGGGGAAGCATCAAGAACAATATGTTTTGCACTGCATGGTGGAAGAATTTTTTTTCAAAAGTTATGGGTATTGGGAGGAGGGGAGGAAAATGCAAATTGTTGTTTTCTACCTCATAGTAAAAGCAGGCTGTGAGACACGTGTACAGATGGGGACTTGTGGTCTTGATGAGCACAAGTTAAAGAAAGGCAGCAAAGCAACAGATAAGTCTGTCCAGGCCCGGTTGACGTGGCTCAGAGGACGTGGCTCAGAGGTTGAGCATTGACCTGGGATCCAGTTCGATTCCTGATCAGGGCACATGCCCGGGTTTCAGGCTCAATCCCCAGAAAGCGGCGTGCAGGAGGCAGCAGATCAATGACTCTCATCATTGATGTTTTTATCTCCCTCTTCCTCTCCCTTCCTGTCTCTCTGAAATCAATAAAAATACATTAAAAACATTAAAAAACATAAACAAAAAAACTCTGTCCAGGAACCCACACCTGGAGAGAGACACTCCTCTCTGCAGCAGGGAGGCTTCTTCTGATGGGCACAATCTCTTCCCTTCCCGCTGTGCTGAGAGGAGCACAGATTACAGGGGGCATGGGCAGGAGGTAGAGTGAAGCAGCCCCCTGGCTCTCTCATCAGCCTTGGCATTGGCTGGGCTGGGGGCAGGGCCTGCAGAGGGTCTGATGGGGACAAAGGCCAGGAGAAATGCCAGGTTCTGCAGTGCAGCCAGTCCCTGGCAAGGTACAGGGAGGGCTCCTGGAGGCTGAGCAGGCTGAAGGGGAGAGGGAGGAGATGGAGGGCAGATGGGCATCAGGGACCCCATGCGCCATAGTTAAGTGCCTGCCCCTTTCTCCTAAAAATGATGCCCTGTCTGTGAAGGAGATTAGGGGCAGCAGAGGGTCATGGATGGGAAGGTTTGCCTTTTTTAGACTATAGTTTGAGACAAGATTGGAGGGTGAGCCTGAACAAAGACAAACAGTAGGAAGAGGGCTCAAGGTCAAGCATGAGAGACGTTAGGAGGTACAAGACCTTCCCTTCTCCAGCGTTTCCCAAACTCATCTCCTTTCCCTCCTGCTCACGTGCTGTGTGGTGGTCAGAGGGAGCAGTTGGCCACTCTCACCAGCATCAGGCCCAGTCCTGCATGCCCACTCCGATCCCTTTGCCTGGAACATGCCCTCTCTCGCACTCCATTCTCCAACCCACCTGGAGCACAGGCACACAGATCCCAGAGCTTTGTGGACCAATCCCCGACCCCTGAAAATGGTTGCTTTTTTCCCAAGTATATAATGTCTCACTGCTATTACCACCTCAGAGGAACCTTCCTGAATAACCTGCTATAAAACAATTCAGCACTCAGCTAATGTAATTTTTCTTCATAATATTCTTTTATTGGGTTTCCATTTGTCTCCCCAAAAGACTGAATGCTCCCTGAGGCTGCTATCTCCCCGGTGCCTAGAGTGACTGGCACATAGCATATGCTCAATAAACATTGGTTGCATTAAGTTAGTGACTTCTGCTTGGTTTATGTCTCTCTTTGTTAGAATGGCAACTCCTGGGGGCAGGGACTGGGATTTCTATTATTTTGTAGGCCCACTGCCTCATGTGTTTGGAAGTGATAAAATTCTCCAGGTCCTTCCTCAAAGGCCACACTTTCCCTGTTTTCGTGCTCTGCCACTTATTAGCTGTGTGGCCTTAAGCAAGTCAATTAACTTCTCTGTGCTTCAGTTTCTTCCTCAGTAAAATGTTTTTGTGATTTAAATGAGATTATTCATGCAAAATGATTGGCAAAGTGTGCATGTTGGCCTGCGACAAATATTAGCTATTATTGGTTAGTTGTTAATATAATTTTAGTGCCCATTGCCTGAAAGAATTTCGTTCCCAGAATTACTCTGAAAAAATTACTCTGTCCTAGCTTATAATACCAGTTGCGTTTAGAGCCAGAATAATTTTACATGACTAGTGTTGAAAAGTGTCAGACTCAGCGGAGAACTTTCAAAGGCAAGAAGGAAATGGATATTCAGCAGGACAGCCGCAACCCACACACAAGTGTTGAAGCTGTTTAGTCGTACGTGCTTGTATCTGAAACCCTGTTTGGATGGTTTTTGG